CTAGAGTGACTAGAGTGCGGGGGTTGCGGGTTGGGGGTGGTTCGGGTTCAGAGCCTAAGATTCACCTTGCAGCCGGGAAGTCCGTAGCATCGAACAAACGACCCCTAGGAGCCCTCGCCCACACACCACAAAGCCAAAAGCCTAAACAGTAGGAGCCCAACTCCTCTATCTGGTTCTGAATCCCGTGCGTTGGGAACCCGGAACCGTAAACCCCCAAAGCCCAAAGCCCAGACCTAGGCGAGAGCGGATACTTGGAGAAGTGCAAGGAGATCCAGCCCGGTGGGTACGATGTCGTCCTCGAATCCTGGCCGAAACTACTACTCAGTGGCCGCTTCGGGGATTTTTATTTTTTTTTGCTGTTTTTTTTTGGTGGTTCTGGTCCATAGTAATGTAATAACGATAAAATCGTTTTTGATGCGCATCCCGGGGGCTTGGAGGCTCCAAAGCTCCTCACCACTTCGAGGCTCCATGGAGCCCAGGGCCCCAGGCTGCAAGGCAAAGCTCAAAGGCTGGCAGGCTGATAGGGGAGTTTCCGAGAATAGGGGACCCTAATTTTGTACCCTAAATAGTAGGATCCTTATTATAAGGACCCCCAAACAAGATACCCCTTGTTTTCGGAAACTCCCATAGGGCTGCTGTTGCCAGATTGTGACGGCCAGAAGGCCTAAACCCCCAACTGTAGCTTAACTCGGGATCCCCAAGACAGTACGACTTTTATGGGGCCGTCCTGAAAACGCACGCTACTCCTAAACCTCGAGTCCGGCTTCTAAGCGCCGCGACTGTTGCCGAATGCAGTTTGCGGCTGAATATCTGCCGCAAGACTGCGTTCCTTGGGCTGAGACCTGTGCCGTGGCATGATGATGATGATGATGATGATGATGATGATGATGTTGATCATGATGATGTTGATCATCATCATCATCATCATCATCATCACGAGGCTTGGAAAACGTTCATGGGCCGCAGCGAGTCCTCGTCGTCATCAGATCACGAGGCCTGCTCAAGGCATCTTCACGAGGCTCCTTTTTTTCGGGAGGGTCGGGGTACCAAGACTATGTGCTGTGGGTTTTCCCAAATTATGAACTGTTAAATCGAGCTCCGTACCAATGATGCAGGAAACCTCAGGGGTTTCGGGAGTGGGGGCTTCCGGCGCGGGCTTTCAACTTTAGGTGAAGGGCTTGCAGGGAGTTAGGACCACACACGCTGGTATTAGGCCGCGC